TATTTGTATGAGGCCTCTTATAGGAGTATGTCCTTGTGCTGGGAGCATACTGCACAGCCTTCTCCCAGCACAGGGACTCACCGAGATTCCTAGGTCCCAAGCTAACTATTGGAACTGGTAAGCCCATTTCCCAAGCACCTGATAATTGTGATAGCCTCTGATTGGCTATCACAGTGATCAATCACTCACCCCCTTTCTCTTCTGAATGGAGAGAAAAATATATTGTATCTTTCTCACCTTGCCAGAGGAGAAAAATGTAAATAAACAAAAGCGTGTGTAAAAAATAAACATAAATTAAAAAAGGAAAAAAAAATATATAGATCAGGGGTATTGAATTAAAATTCAAGGAGGTCCGGTCACTAAATTTTTCTTCTCACCGAGGTCCGAATAGGGTGTGCCCATCAGTATGCCCCCTTACATTAGGTGTCGCCATCAGAGTGCAACTTTACATCATGTATTGCCATCACATCCGGTGTGCCCATCAGAGTACCCCTTTACATCAGGTATCCCCATCACATTGCCACCTTACATCAGGTATTCCCGTCAGAGTGCCCCCTTACACTCAAAGTACCCATTTCTATCATATTTCCCCATCAGAGTGCCCCTTTACATCATATTACCCATCAGAGTGCCCCTTTCCATCACATGTGCCCATCAGAGTGCCCTTTTCCCTAGTATGTGGCCTCTTAACATAAAATGCACCCATCAGAGTGCCCGTTAACATAAAATGTGCCCATCAGAGTGCACCTTAACATAAAATGTGGCCATCAGAGTGCCCCTTAACATAAAATAGGGGCATGCTGATGGGCACATTTTATGTTAAGGGGCACTCTGATGGGCACATTCCTATTAAGGGGCACTCTGATGGGCACATGTTATATTAAGGGGCACTCTGATGGGCACATTCTATGTTGTGTCTCTTAACATTCAATGTACCCATCAGAGTCCCCCTGTAAGACTACACCCTACCTTGAGGGCAGACAGGAACTGTGCAGAGATCCTTGCTAGACGCTTGTATACAGGCAGGAAGTGGGAGCCAGAGAGACAGTGAGCTGAAAGGGGTGGGGCACACACATGATGTCATGTTGCCATGAGGACTGCCCTGCTCAGGGGAGGATCTGAAATTGCAGGTTGGCGGTCTGGGCAGCACCGCTGCTAGGGCTATTCACGGATCATGGTCCACCATTTAGTGACCACTGATCTAGATCATGGATTGATCTGCATCGGTGTCAGGGTTAGAGTTAGGGTAAATGTCAGAGTCAAAGGTCATGGTCAGGATCAATATATTTTAGGTAGAATTAAAAAAAAAAGATTTTTTTTTTATTAGTATCAATGTCAGTTAGTGTCAGTGTGCCAATGTGTTTTAGGTAGGATAAAAAATGTGCACTATTGTTTCTGGGCTGTACTATGGTTACAAACAACAAATAACATATACATATTAAGTATTACTGCAAGTGTCAGGAGTACGATAATTTATTTTGGGTTGTTCTTTGGTGGTAGATTATAGTAGTAGTAAGAAAATTATAGCAAAGATAAAAAAAATGTTTTTTTTTACTATTTGGGGCCAGTTTTGCTTTGCTAATAAAAAATATATAGGAGATATCCATTACTATTTACCACCAAATGAAAGCCCATTTTGTACTGAACAAATAAGGCATAAACTACTGGGATACACTAAGTAGTTGTGATCAGGGGCAGAATGACAACGCATGGGGCCCCTGGGCAATAGGGGATCATAGGGCCCCTGTGTCCTTGCCCAAACTCAAAAAAGCCTATGAAAAGGTACCAGGGGCATCTCATGGGGCCCCCTACTGACGCCAGGCCCTCGGGCAGTGCCCGAGTTTCCAAATGGTCAGTCCGCCCCTGGTTGTGATGATATGTACAGTTATACTAACACATGGCAAAGCAGCAAAATTGTGTTCAAACTTTAGCATTTGTTTTACCCTCGATCATGAATGAGGTTAAACAATATTTTTAGAACACGCACAGTGTATTTTAAACTACTGGGGCCCCTTGTCTCTATTGATATGTTCAAAAGTGAATTTAGATTTTATAATGGTGCAGATATTTTGTCAGAAACTGACAAAAATATGAACCAATCAACAAAAAACAAGTCAGATTTTGGTTTGTGTTGTAGGTAATGCTCATCTCTACCTATAATCATTAAAAGGCTGTGTACAATAAAGTACAATTAATTGTGATGAACATTATTGGTGAAATACTTTTCTTTTTTTTTTTGCCTTGAGTGGGAAGTTTTATTGTTTTGTCTTTTACTTGTCTTATGCTCACTTAGTTGACAGGAGAGGGATAGCTAGGCTTCCCTATTAAAAACAAACTTACATTATAACCACCAATATGACATTACATGCCTTACCAATAACCCTTTAATGAAGGGAATAATACACCCTTAACTGTATGAGGATTGACTGTCTCTTTAGGTCCACAAACTTGTTCTCCTGCTGTGCTGATGACGTAGTCACAGCCTGAAGGTTTATTTGATATTGCTGAAGGACTGCTACCAATTAACCTCATGTCATTTCTTGTCACCCAATGTTCCAAGAGCTCATGTTGACATAGTGTATAACCTGAACAGCAGGGATGATGAGAGCCCATTGCAAATGTCAAAATTTAAAGGCTCTCTGTAGGTGAGCTGGAATTCCTAAATAATTCAGAGAGAACCCTGTTTATCTGGACAACAAATGACATATGTTTGGCTATAGAAGTATAATCCGGGGGACAGTCTGCTTTATTAAAACTACTTATAGTAGGTGAGGTTCCTGAGCCACTTCTTGAAACTATGTCATACATTGTACATCTTTTCAAATATTTTGCAGAGCTTCAACCTCTCCTATTATTCGACATTCCACAGCTAGATGGGGAATCATTTTAAATTGTAATACTAACCTCTAGAAACAAATCTGAAATTTGCTTTCATCCATATGGTACAAATACCAAAAGACATTTTTTTAGTAATGCAAGTTATTTCACACTACTGTTCAATATGACATTGTATTGAAGAACTTTATCTGAAAGAAGATGTTGGTGACATGTGCAAAAATATCTACTTAGATATGAAACATTGATTGTTGTATGACATTTTCACACTTTTTATCTTTCCTACTGAATGCACATTTCTTGATGCTATGGTGCTACTTGATAAGTCTCAGCTGGTGCATATAACAAAACAGTTCTTATTTCCTAGGACATAACCAGGACAATGAACCCAATGCAACACCAGCTTTGGTCCTTATGCAGAGAGTTTTAGATAACAAGCAAAGAAAGTAAAGCACTTTCTTGCATCCTAATTCTTCTGTGTGGCTCCTTGTACCCGTCTAGTGATCTCCTATCAACCCCCTGTGCAACAACACAGGCAAAATAATGGAGTCAGAGTAAAAGTGGTCTATCTAGCCTATCAATGAATTATGGTTTTGTCTATGGTTAGTAAGCTGCCTTTTCCAGTATATTTATTCATAGCTGGTTCCAAATATGTACAAAAAATGCAGTTGCTTCTGCTTGGAATGTGTATAAGAGGATTTTCTACTGACACATAAACATGGCAGGTCTTTTTTTTAAATACGTTGACACAATATTGACTTATAATTCTTTTAATGAATTTTTCTAGTAAGTAGCACTTAAACACTGCATGGTATTTCATGTAGTGGAATGAATGGCATTTAATACAGTAACACATATTACAAAGATAGCTATACAGCACATGAGCATGAGAGGTTCTGCAACTGTTCTTTTCTGAGTCTGGCTCTCTCAGCACTGCAGAATCTTTAAAGTGATATTAAAGGTTTTTTTTAAAATTAAAAACATGTCATACTTACCTGCTCTGTACAGTGGTTTTGCACAGAGCAGCCCAGATCCTCCTTCTTGGGTCCCCCGCCAGTGCTCCTGGCCCCTCCCTCCTGTCGGGTGCCCCCCACAGCAAGAAGCTTGCTATGGGGGCACCCAAGCAGGCACGTTTCCGAGCCACAGCTCTGTGTGTCCATTCACTCTGTGAGTCCTTGTTCGGCCCTGCCTATTCCCTCTCTTGATTGGTTCACTGGCTGAGGTTGACAGCCTCAGCCAATTGAGATTGAGAAATTGATGGATAAGGATGGAGCTCAGGTAAGCGTCAGGGAAGGGGGTTTGGTGGGCTGCTAACCACAGAGTGTTTTTTTACCTTCATGCATGGAATGCATCATGCTAAAAAACGTTGAGCCTTTAGACCCCCTTCACTTTTTTCAGTTTTGTTAAGTTGCAGCCTGATACTATAGTTGTTTTCATTCTGTTTTTTTTTCCATTAATCTACACTCAGTACCCCATAATGACAAAGTGAAAACAGAATTTTAGAAATGTATGCAAATGTATGCAAATATATGAAAAAGGAAAAAACTGAAATATCACATTGGCATAAGTATTCATACCCTTTGTAACAACGTTTGAAATTTAGCTCAAGTGCCTCCCATTTCTCTTGATCATTGCTGAGATGTTTCTAGACCTTGATTAGAGTCCACCTGTGTTAAATTAAATTGATTGAATGTGATTTGAAAAGGCACACACCTCTCTATAAAAGGCCTCACAGCTGACAATGTATTCTGTATCAGAGCAAAAGCGACGAGTCAAAGCAGCCGCAAGCAGAGCTTGGAGACAGGTTTATTGTAAGACACAGATCTGGGGAAGGCTACAAAAAAAAATTCTGCTGCTCTGAAGGTTCCGAAGAGCACAGTGGCTTCCCTAATTCTCAAATGGAAGAAGTTTGGCACAACCAAGTCTCTTCCAAATACTGATCACCCTGCCAAACTGAGCAATCGGGCAAAGAGGGCCTTAGTAAGAGAGGAGGAACCCGATGAACACTCTGACTAAGCTCTAGAGATCCTGTGTGGAGATGGGACAAAGTTCCAGAAGGACAACCATCACTGCAGCTCTCTACCAATCTTTGTTTAAGAGTGGCTAGACGGAAGCCTCTCTTCTGTGCAAAAAACATGAAAGCGCTGATGGGCGCTGATGAGGTGGCACTGATGAGGCGGCACTGATGGCCACTGATGAGGCGGCACTGATGGCCCCTGATGAGGTGGCACTGATGGGCATTGATAAGCTTCAAGAAGAGGAAACGGTCCTGGGGGTCTTCCAATTTGTCGTTAAGAAGAAATGGAAGTTGTTTCGATAGTAAAATAGCAAACCCTTTGGATTTAGCTTCAGCATTCGTTGCATGACACGCTACTGGATAAAATGTATTGGTCAGTTTAGGAATGTAATTTGTTCTAAAGTGAGTTTCCTGTATCAGTACAATTTGTGCCTTAAGTTTATGAAAGTAATCCAAGAATTGGGATCGCTTTTTCTGGTACGTTAAGACCATTAGCATTCAAATAGAGCACCTTCAGAGAAGCCACGGTAAACTTCTGAGTCCTCAAAGTCATACTCGCATCTATGGAAGTATTCCCAGATTCCCATGGAGCAGTGTAAGAGGGGAAGCCCGACCAGTGCAGTTAGAGAAAAGAAAAAGAGGGGGAAAAAAGGAAGGGGGGGGGGGGGGAGAGAGAGAGGGAGAAAAAGGGGGGAGAGGGAGGTTAAGAAAAAGAAAATAGAGGGGTAAGGGAAAAGATATGGAGAAAAGTTTTATAGAAAGTAATTAGAAGGAAGATAGATAAACCGGAGGCAACTCTAGGGGATCCAGGTCACCTGCATAAAATAAGACGAAGGACCGGAGAGGTCTGCTAGTACTCCAGGGGACCTCTGAGTGGGAGCAAGGAGTATGAGCGTCAAATATGGAGGTGAGCTATTGGAGCAGAGGTCTAGATAAAGGTTGGATGGTAAGGGAGTGCGCAGGTAAGAAAGGTTAAAAGGGATGCCAGGAAAGAGCGACCATATTAATTGGCGACTGGTAGTCAAAGACATAACTTAGTCTAAGCTAGAAAACAAAATTCCTGATAGAACATTGATCCCAATGAAAAAGGAAGAAAAAAAAAAAAAAGTTTCCTTTCAATTATACCAAACATATTAGGAGGTATCTGATAACTATATGTCACATTAATGAAACGTGGGTCGTGCCGCTAGCCGCTTATGGATTTATAGCACCGCCTTGCGAGGTACACTGTTCTCTACTGAACCCATTGTTCTGGGAGTGGGGAAAACCATAGGAGTTAAGATGTGACATCATTCAGCTAGCTCAGGACCCAGAGACATTTCTCAAAGTAGAGACCAGATGCTTAAGGCAAAGAAGCCCATGTCAGTTAAAAAAAAGGGGGGGAGCGGGCGGGGGGGGGGGGGTTGGGAGAAGGAAATGGGGAAAGGAGAGGACATAGGGGAGGGGGGGAAAGGTGGAGGGAAGGGGGTGTCACAGGGAGGGAAAAGAGAAGGAGGTGGGGGAGAGGGAAGAGAGGGGATGAGCAAAGAGAGGGGATGGGGACAGGAGGGGTGGAGACTGCTGAAGAAGGGGAAGGAAGGGGGGGAAGCAACTGTGGAAGGGTATGGGGTAGGGGGGAGAGACAGGTAGGGGGCGAGCAGGGGCAGACTGAAAACTCATGAGGCCCCCGAGTAATAGGGGATCATGGGGCCCCTGTGTCCTCGCCCATGCTCAAACCACACCCAAAAAAGCCTATTAAATGTACCAGGGGCATCTCATGGGGCCCCCTACTGACCCCCAGCCCTCGGGCAGTGCCCGAGTTCCCAAATGGTCAGTCCACCCCTGGGGGCGAGAGAGGGAAAAGGAATTTGGCACAGGGTAGTTTGTTGCTGGGCTTGAGCATCCAGGTAATGCAAAGAGTAGTGTACATGCTGGATGCATAATTTGTATACAGTAACTTTCTCTCCATTATAGGCACAGGGTGAATAAGGAGACCTTCAGGGTGTTAAAGAAGGGTCTCACAGTAGGAGGTTTGTAAGACAACAATCAACGTGAAACAAAAAACTCTGCACCAAGCTGGGGAAACACGGTTTACACCTCAAATACTCCTACCATTGTGAGAGATCTTCAGGCTTAAGTAATAATAACTGAGCCCCTCAAATCCTGACCACAAGTGAGCAATGGAAGCAATTTTTTGGTTTTAGTTATTTAACTAAAATGCTGTTATTCTTGGTTAGAGAGAAGTCTCCCAAGGGATCTGCCTTTCCAAGATGAATTGGTAGTCTGATGGTCCATGTAATCTGACAGAAGGCATTTTCTCGATGTTTAAGCTATCAAGCCTAGGGTCCATAGCAGAACCGTAAGCTGTAGCAATGTGTCAGCAAGTCAGCATGAAGATGCCAGAAAATGCAAGTAGAGAGGTAAACTCATCAGGAAGACATCTTAGGTAGGATACAGTACAAGTGTCATTAAAACTCTGGCCTGTCTCTACAATGGGGAGGTGATATATCCAAATTCTCTGAGTCATCATCCCTGCGATGGTGTCTATCCAGTGGCGATGAGGGATGGGAGCTTCTGAGCCTGTTTTGGTGCTGCTGTGCTCTTGGGGTGCAATTATTGGTCACCTCAATCCAGGGGTTGGTAGTATAGAAGGACCTGTACCATTCCAGTAGATTTATCCCAGAGATGTCTGTAAATCACCAGGTGTGCGGAGAGATACTGACTGGCCACAGTGCATAGCTACTACACAAAAATAGGAAACACCAACAATAGGTAATTCCATGAGTTCAATGTTTTTCTAGAAGGGGTTGAAGGGCCCGACGTTGCTGTAAAGTTATTGGGGGTAGACTCTGAACTAGTTTTTTTTCATGCCCATTAAACAGTGTGTGGTCCCAGTCTGGCCTTTCACAGAATTGCTTCCTTGAGAGGGAAATTAAGCAGGCAACAAATTATGTTCCTAGGAGGGTCTGTATCCCTTCCCCTGGGATGCAGCGCTCTGTGGATTCACTCTGTTTCAATGTTTCTGAATCAGGAGGTCTTTCTAGAAGATTGTTAAATATGGTACTCACAGTAAGTTCCAGTGCAGGTTGATCTATCACTTCAGGAACACCTCTGACTTGCATATTGCGCCGACGGCCTCGGTTGTCGGGGTCTTTCAGGTGCATTTTTATTAGGTGAGACAAATGGAGGTCTGAAAAGCGCTGAGTTTGTCTAATGGCCTCCACGTGCCTCTCCACCATCTTCTCTACTATTCTGAGCCTTCCCACCCTGGCTTGGACATCTGATCGGAGTTCAGATATAGCAGTTGCAAGGGAGGATTTTATGTCTGCGTTGATGGCCTGCAAATCTGCCAGGCTAGCCAGCTGGGGTGAGGAGAAAAGGCAAGATCCTCTTTCTGCTCCCACTCGATAATCAGAGTCACTTCCCAGGGAACATGGCAGGGGAGATCGCGAGGCCTCCAGAGCCTCAGTGTGTCTGGTCTGGAACAGAGCAGGTATGTTTCTGTTGAGTTGCATACACCGGGTTACGTGCTGTAGAGGCACTCCTACCCAACTTCACCATGGTAAAGATGGAAATTAGCCCTTCTGTAGCTTATTTTAGATCCCTGTGCTCAGGAGCTCCACAGTTGGACATCCCTGTCTTGTACCGTTTGACATCTCAATGGGTTCTGACCTCTCCCCGTTCACCACAACAACTGCAGAGGGGTATCTATACAACTTTCCTATCCACTCTCTCATCTTGGGCCCAATTCCCATGACTTCCAACGTATCCATCATGAATCTCCAATTCACTCTATCAAACGCTTTTTCAGCGTCTATAGAGAGTAGAATCACCGGTTCTTTTCCCTTTTTACTTTTTTGGATCAGCATCAATGATCGTAGCCCATTATCTCTACCCTCCCTCCCGGGAACGAAGCCCACCTGGTCCTGATGTATCCATTCCGGCATTAGCTCTTTCAATCTATTTGCCAAGACCTTTGCGTATAGCTTAATGTCAGTGTTTAATAATGAGATAGGTCTATAGTTCGAACACTGTGTAGCATCTTTTCCCTCTTTTTGGATAAGCACCATTTGAGCTTGTAGCGATTCTTTTCTTATTTCCATCTCTCCACCTAATGCATTCATATATTTTCTAAGTTTTGGTAGTAAGATTTCACTATATTTTTTATAATATCTCACAGTATAACCATCTGGACCTGGACTTTTCCCAGACACTGTACCCTTCAGAGCTAATTTTATTTCCTCTTGTGAGATATCTGCATCCAGGGAGTTCATTTGGACTTCGCTTAATTTTAGTAACCCAGCCTTCTCTATATATTTCTTTCTCTTATGGTTCTTCTCACTTTCTATATTTTCAGATTCCCGCAGGGGATTTATATTATACAGATCTCTATAATATTCCATAAAAACTTTGGTGATTTCTCTATTTGAGTGTTTCAGGTTCCCCTTAACGTCTTTTATTTTTTCTATATAATTTCTATTTTTTCTTTTTCCTTAGGGCCCTCATCAAGTATTTTCCCGGTCTTTCTCCCCATCTATATCTCTCACTCAAAACCCTATTATATGCTTTTCTCCTCTCCTCTTCTATTACACCTTCCAATTCTTCTTTCTTTTTTTTTAACTTCAACTCTATTTCTTTTATTATTCTATTCTTGTGTTGTTGTTCTAGCTTACTTATTTCTTCTAAGAGTCTGCTCATTTTCTCTCTTCTTTCTTTTTTCTTTCTTGCCCCAATCGCTATCAATATTCCTCTTATGTATGCCTTATGAGATTCCCACACTGTAGCTATGGACACATCACCTGTCTCATTTTCCTGGAAATACCGTTCAATCTCTTCCCCTATTTTCTGGGCTATTTCGTTATCTACTAATAGTGTCTCATTAAGTTTCCATCCCAGCCCTCTTGTTTTCCCCTTCCCCCATTCCAATTTCATTCTGACTGGGGCATGATCCGATAAAGAGATTGTCTCTATTTCAATTTGAACTAGGTGGTCGATTAATTGATGTTCTATTAATATGTGGTCTAATCTTGAGTACCTCTTATGCATGTTTGAAAAAAAGGTATAATCTCTATCTTGCATGTGTGTAATTCTCCAGGCGTCTACTAATTGGCTTATATGTAGTTCTTTCTTCAAGAGTTTCAGAGCCCTACTTCCTTCTCTCTGTGCATGGGAGGTAGCATCTTTTTGTGGATCCATACAAAAATTAAAATCCCCTGCGAGAATCAAACAGCCTTTTTTAAAGTCCGTCAACT